ATCCCAAGATCCTGGGATCGAGCCCCACATCGGGCTCTCTGCTCAGCGGGGAGCCTGCTTCCTCCTCTCTCTCTGCCTGCCTCTCTGCCTACGTGTGATCTGTCTGTCAAATAAATAAATAAAACCTTTTTTAAAAAAGCTTTTAAAGATAAAAACAAGTGCGCCCTTGCCCTGAAGGCTCGCCCGACCCCTCCTGGGCAGGGCCTGTGCCCCAGGCTCAGGGATCACATGTGCTGGTGAAGAGAACGGGTATGGGGGTCAGTGGCCTGATTCAGTCATGACTCTGGGGCTTGCTGGCCAGTGACCTTGAACAAGTCACTCAACCTCTCTGGGCCTCCCTTTCCTTCCTGATATAGTGGGGATAACTGGAGTCCCCACTTCATGGGGCTGCTGGGAGGATTTGATGAGCTGCTGTGCGTACAGATCTTGGAGGGTGGGGAGGGGGAAACACACCCATTTGCCCAGCAGTGGGAACCCGACATCCAGTCTTGGTCCAGCCAGCTTGGGGGAGAGGGAGGAGCTCATGACATCCGGAAACAACAGCTTAATGGTGTCTGCTTCTCAGAGTTTCTGGATACACTGAGGGATTTTCAGACACCCAACCCTTCCGAGTCCTAGGGCTGAGCTGTCCAGCAGAGCAGTCGACCAGTCACAGTGGCTACTGGGCACGTGGGATGGGACTCGCCCAGACTGAGATGCTGGATGTGTGTCATACAGGGTAGAGCTCCAAGATCTTATTTTTAAAAGTGCCTATTTCTTATCAATGACTTTCTATTAATTGACATTAAAATGATATTTTTGATACAATGCATTCAATCAAATATATTCTAAGTTGTCCTTTTTACTTGTTACTGTGTCTACCAGAAACTTTAGAACCCCATGTGGCTTTTGGTTAAGCGTGTGCTGGACATGCCCCAGGAGGTCAGGGCCTGGCACAAAGACGCTGCCCACAAATGTGACACTCATTTTTAGATGAAAGTCCTTCCACATATAGACCATCCACCTCTGTGTACGGGTTATGTTTGTTAAAACCAAGTGGCCAAGAATGCTATCTGTCAGCACCGGTGTGTTTCCCAATCTCCTTGTGAAATCGGGCTTTTAAAAAAACAGTCCTGGTCTAGGAAAAATTCCTGAACCGATATTCACCCAGATGTCCAGCTTCTTTACGAGAACATTCCAGCACACCCCGGTCCCAATGTCGAGAGCCCTTCCTGACACCTCTCCTTTCCTCTGCGAATCCTGGGTGGACATGTGTGTGAGACAGAAGCCTCCTGTCCTCCCACAGGGTCTCAGTTCTGCATACGTGTCTTTCAAAACTCTCAGGAAATCCTCTTCTAGAAAAAGACCACTGCTACACCAAAGCTACTTTGCAGCCAGACTGACTTCTGGCCCAGGTGCCGAGAATTCTGCTCAGGAGGCTTCTGCTTGCTTGCTCGACCAGAGGTGTCCCTGAAGGGGCATGAAGTTCGCAGTGTCCAGTCCCAGAGTGTCCAGCATCCGCGACTCCCTGGGGACTCCCTGGGACCACTCCTGGGAACCAGCAGCCATTGGGGACAGAACCACCCTCCAGCCCCAGGCTTGGTTCCCGCAGCCCCTAATGGGAACAGGCTCTGGGGAGGTTTCCCGGTCCTGGTCTCTGTGCGGAGGGCTGCGGAGGTCCCATGTCAACGAGGGGCCGTGGGGCGCAGCCGGAGCCTCCAGACAGTGAGCCGGGGCCCTGTTTCATGGGCTCAGCTGCCTGCCCTCCCTCCAGAACAGTGACGCCTGGGCCCCTGCGACTACACTGGTCCTTCTTCCTGCCATCTCTGCCCCACCAGATGACACGGCCCTCGTGGGCAGAGATCAGGCCGCATGTTCCCTGCTGGATCCCAGTGCCTGGGACATCACACCGGCTCGCCAAGTGTTCGACCCCTGACGGGTGAGGGCGCATCGGAAGGACGGACGCATGGATGGAAGAGTGACTTCCCGCAAGGTACTCCCCTTGTCCCGAAAGACCATCCACACAGCCAGTTTCTTACGCACAAGTCACTTGGCCCTACGTGCAGGAACCACGGCACCGAGGTGAGCAACAGACTTCTAAGTGATACCATAGGTACGAGGGCCCCGGGTTCACGGGGCATGTACGGTGAGCCGCCGGCCGGTGCCTGGCCAGACCCTCTCCATGATCTTCACAGCGACCATGTGACAGAGGATGGACCGAAGCTCGGGAAGACCGCCTGCCCAAGGACACCCAGTGGGGAGCAGGGTCCCAAATGTCATCAGACCCCACCCCACAAGAGCACCCTCCCGGCGTGGCCTCCCCCTTCTGTGTGTGCAGGGTGGACTCCGTTGTCTCCCCGCCCACCGACACCAGCATCCCGGGCCCCAGGAGAACAAGTCCGAATCACAAAGTATCAGAATCCCACATGGTGCCTGTGTGTGCCGGGGACGCGACCAGCCTCACGGCATCGTCCGACCTGCACCAGGAACCCTGGGAGTCGTGTTCATGGAAATCACAGAGCCCAGTCCCAGAACTTCAGACTCTGCAGGTCTGGGGAGGGCCTGAGAGCCTACTTTTCTAGCTAGCTCCTGGCTGACCTGGATTCTGCTCATCTGTGGGGGCCGGTCTGAGACCCACCACCTTACCACGACCCCAGGGCAAGTGTTTTCACCTTCCCCTTTATGGGTGGGAAAACTGAGTCCCAAGTGAGCGAGTCCAAGAAGAAAAGGAAGCAGGATCTCAACTCTGGAGATGCTGCAGGAACTCCCTAGAACTTTTCTGAATAGCACAGCGGGCATTGGCCACTCTGGGCCCGGGAAGGGCTGCCTGGAGGATATTTATAATCATGACGGCAATTCCGGGCAGGTCCCTCGGGAAGTGATAAAGAATGACGGGTCTTGGGGGGGCAGGGAGGGTGACAGTAGGAAAGAAACCACCTTGGGGACCCATCCCAGACACCCACGTGGAGGGGCCACACATTAAGCCCAGTGGCTGCCCTCGGGGAGCCACTGACATGGCCCCAGGGACGAGCTGGGCAGTGAGCGCCAAGGCCGGCCTGCCACGTTTCTCAGCAAGACCGTTTCCTCTTCGAGGGGTACAGAGAGCTCAACAGAGTGGTGTCCGGGACTTCTTTCCAGCCTGGCCAGGAAATTCCACTAATCAGCTGCCTGATTTCCCTCCCATTAAATCAATGGAATTTCCCTTCATTAAGCTCTTCCCAAACAAAGGTTGCCCATGCCAAAGGAGAAGACGCAGACGCCGTCGACTCCAGCATCAGGGCTCAGGGCAGAGTGTCTGTGTGGGCCCCTGGCGGGGTCTGTGTGCCATCCTGACGCTCCCGGGCAGCCTGGGAGTATGGGGGGTGTACACGAAAGCCTGAGCTTCCAGGGCCTGGCACATTTTGTGTTCTTGATTTTATACTCCTTTTTGAAAGAAGCCCCTTCAAATAAAAATTTCAGGGCTCCCCTCCATTATGGGCTCACTCGTGTCCCCCAACCCTATTCCTGCATTTAAACCCCAACCCCCAATGCCTCAGAACGAACCGTATTTGGAGAGGATCTTTGAAAGGATAATGAAGTTAAAAATGAGGCCTTGAGGGGGAACCCCAATCCAACCTGACCAGTCTCCTTAGAGGAGGAAAAGAGGACATAGACGCACACAGAGGGAGGACCGGGTCAGGACACAGGGAGAAGGTGGCCGTCTACACACCCAGGAGAGAGGCCTCAGGAAGAAGTGTCCCCAGCCCACGCCTTGATCGGGGACTTCCCACCTCCAGCACTGCGAGGAAATCAACATCTGGGCTGTAAGCCCCCAGCCGTCTGTGTACCTTTCCCCACCAGCCCCAGGAACAAATACACCCCCAACTGGGGTCTGCCCCGGGGGAAGGCGAGTCATCAGACCCATTTCACAGACACAGGAGCCAAGGTTAGGGAAAGGCCGGATGCCTTGTGTGAGGTCACAGGGTTCTCAGAGGAAACCCCGGAACTGGGGCCTGGGTCCCTGGGCTGCGAGGCCTGTGAGGCACATCCATGGCAACAGGACACAGGTGAGGCTGAGAAGCATCTGCCAGGAGATAACTGGCAGCCTGAAGCCACCCTGGGACCCCTTAAGAACATTCTGGAAAGGCCTACCCAAAGCCTCAGACATTTGCTCAGTCTTTGATCTAGGGATGTCATTTCCAGAGATTTCTGGAAATAAGCACTGGCATGTGCTGACATTCCCCCACAAGGATGGTCGTCACGGGACAATCGCCACCTGCCCCTCCTGAGATGGTAAAGTGCTAGACAAACTGCCCCAACAGGAGAGGGGTGCAGTGTGCCCACAGGACGCAACTGTGTGGGGTCACCAGCAGGGACGTGGTGGGGCGGGGGGTTAGGAGCTGCGTGATGATCTAATCAGTGAAAACATAGAGTACTCGACTGTCCACTCCAACAGCCGCTGCTCTCCGCTACAGACAGCCACTGGCTCAATCCTCCAGCCACTCCGTGAGGCCGGGGCCGGCACTGTCCCTGTATCACAGGGAGAACGCTAAGGTACAAGGAATCAGGCAGCTGGCTGGTGGGCACAAAGCCAGTGTGAAGCAGAGCTCCAAGCCCTCCGCTCTTACTTCTGCGAAGGACGTAACCACACTATTGTTAGCTGCAGAGAACCACTGAGTCACCATAATTGGATCCTGTGTGTTTTCTTCGCGCCCATGCCAAGTAAAAGGACCAGAAGGAGACCCAGCACAAGCCTCACGGTAACCCCCCCAGGTGACAGCTTATGGATGATTGTTTTTTTGGGGGGGCTTATGGGAGGCTTCTCAATCTTCTACAAAAACGTATGTCACAGAAAAAAGTTCTCACTTTTAAAACAGAAAGGAAGAGAAAAGAACAGGCTTGTCCTGTGTATTCTGGTGAGAATGAGCACAAGCCGGCCTGAGTTCTCCTCCCAAGGTCAAGGACACTGGCTTCCCTCCCAGGTGCCCCAGGGGCACGGTAGGTGGGCCTTGGGTGATGAGAGCTGGAGAACGCAGCCCTACCTTTCAGACTGGACTCCGTTCCTGAGCGAGCCCACGTAGGCCTTCTTTTTATCCACGGGCATCAGGTCCACATAACCCCCGCTCTCATTCTGGACGACTCCTGCGTGCACGGCCGTCTTGCAAATGCTCGAACTCTGAAAGTGCGAGAAGAGCCGGGATCAACGCCAAGGGCGCTGTGCTCCCAGGCGAGACCCTGCTCCCGCCAACCAGTACTTGGTGGCCACGCTGGCGGGGGTGGGGGTCGTTGATCAAGTTACCCCTAGTAAACACCCATTGCCCCCTTGATTTCTTTGGGGTCTCTCCAGAGAGACCTGGCATCCTTCATTCATACACATTCATTCCTTCAGCAAGGATTTTCTGAGCACCTACTGGGTGCCAGACCCTGTGCTAAATGTAGGAAAACTCAGCAGGGAACAAAATAAAGACCTGGCCTTCATGCAGTTGAGGGAGCCTGACAAGGAAGCAAATACACACATAACCAACTCTGGCTGTGAAGAAAATAAAGCCGGCTCATGAGGTTACGTGAATGGGTGGAGACACTCAGGATGGTTAATCCGGGAGGACTGCTCTTGGTGTGACATTTGAGATTTAATTTGGGTGAGAAAAAGGAATGGGCCACCGCCTATGAATACATCTGGGAAGAGTATCCCAGGCAGAGGGGACAGCCTGTGCAAAGGCCCTGGGGTAAGAGTGAACCTGTCATGTCCCAGAAACAGAAAGAGGGCCAAGGTGGCTAGAATACGCGTCAGGGGAGTGTGGTGGGGCAGGTGGGAGAGGTGAACGAGGTCCATCCCGCGGGGCTGTGAGGACGACAGGGGGTTCTAGGCTTATTCTAAGTGTCAAGGAAGCTGCTGGTTTTTAAATAGGGGCAGGGTGTGCTGTTTTCCAAAGTTATCAAGCAGTCCAATTCCTGGGTTAACAAACCCTCGAGTTAAATTTTCACTAGGGTCTTTAGGGAGCCATCAGAAAAAGGATCCACAGGATGGAATGTCTGAGATTAACCAATCCCCATGTTGGGGGGCTGGTCCTCGCTCACCCTGACTGTCTGACTCAGAGTTGCCCCTGATGAGGGCCAGGGGACCGAGGCACACTCAAGGTGAAGCACCACGTGGGTGACCCACTCCGGCCGCGTCTGTGACCCCATCCTCCAGCCTGGGGTAAAGACCCAACCCTGGCCTTGGCTGTGGGTGTCCGTCTCCACTGCAACCCAGAGCCCCATGCGGCACCTTCACCCGGTGATGGTGCCTGACCCCCTGCCTTCCCGCCCCCTCCCCCAGAAGCAGCGGCGGTGGGGGAAGCCCGGATTTGGCATTTTCAACACCGGTCGGGGGTTCTCGTGAGCGGCCAGGGCCGCGCGGATCTGTGTGTGGGCTCAGCAGCCTCCTTCCCCCTTAGCAGACAGAACGCAGACTCCCAGCTTCTCCAGTCCCAGCCCCGGGTGGACCGCCTTGGGCCTGGGATCTCACTTCATCTTCCAACGGTACAGGTAAGTCCCACCATTCCCACTCCACGGGCCAGAGCGCGTGGGTTTGGTGAGAACCAAGAACTTGGCCGGGGCTGCGCCGACAGTGGCTTAGCCGAGATTCCCGCTGAGGTCCAGCTGAGGGAAAGTCTGTGCATCCGAGGCCCCCAGAGGCACGGCCCCCCGAGAGTCCGCATCCCTGTCTCTGAGCCTGTGACCACGTGAGCACCCGTGACCAAAGGACGCCCTGCACATGGGACGGAGGTAAGGACTTTGAGGAGGAGAGGAGCCCAGAGTCATCCCCAGGGTCCTTCTAAGAGGGAGGCCAGCTGGGCAGAGATGGGGAGACAGAGCTGAAGATGCGACAGGGCTGGCTTTGCAGATGGGGGGGCAGGGGCTGTGGGCGGCTTTTGGAAAGTGAGAAAGTCATGAAAACAGGTGCCCCTGGTGCAGGGGGCAGCAGAAGGAATGGAGCTCTGCCGACAGCCTGACCTGTACCTGTGGAGGCCTGTGCTGGGCTTCGGATCTCCAGACTGTGAGAGGAAGGCGACCAAGTTACTAAGTCTGTGCTCATTTATCACAGCAGCCCTAAGAAACACATACCGCTTCTGATGGGACATCCATTAGGTCCCTTAAGTGAGGACTTCCAGATACTCGGGAAACAGAGTCACCAGGGGAACGGCCCCCGAGACTCTGGTAACAGGATGAGTCAAGCTGATGGAGCCAGCAGCTCATTCTAGCTCAGCAAGCTGCCAACTTAGAGATGGAGTCAGAATGACGTCTACAGGCCAGACCTAGTGACCTAGTGACCCGGGGCCACGGCCCTCATTGGCTTAGCCTGCAGACTCCGTGTGTGTCGAGCAGGGAGAGGGGGGTGGTGCTTTGTGCAGGGAGTGGAGGCGAGGCCACTGCAGACCGGGACCCAAGTTTGCAAACACCACCTGGCGAGGGTCACTCGGGGTGGGAGGGGCGTGTGCGTCTGGACTTGGCTGTCCTCAAGGCCACCTCTTTGCACAGTACATGGGGGGTCCCAACCATTGATTAACCCAGCCAGAACCTCCCTCATGATGAGAGTGGGCTGGGAAAGAGGAATCCTGTAGGATCCTGCTTACACGGGGCTTCGGACGCGGTCCGGTCCGCAGACCCAGAACGTAGAACAGGGTAGGTACCCCGAGCTGCCCTTTGAATGGGACAAGGAACCCATCAAGCAGGTTCTTAACACCAAGACAGGAGTGAACAGATTCAAGTGGGCTCTCTGAAAATCCTGATCTGAAATCACACAGATTCAGAATCTCACATGTTGGGAGTCTGGGGCAGTCCCTCTTAGGGACGCCCCACCAGGCGGTGGGCTCCTGCCCCCTTCCTTCAAAACTGGGTCCTGCCGGAGAAGCCGCTGGTTTTGCATCAGAAGAAAATAACTTCTCGGCACCAGAGGCTGCCCTGATGGGTCCCTGGGAAGTGCGCCGTGCCGCAGGCTGGGCAGAGCGAGAGCGCCCCGGGGAGCTCCCACACCGAGGGCTTGAGAACCCAAGTGCCCACTTTCTGGGACTGAGTTGTCAGAGTCACCGAAGACCACGTATGATTCTGGGCCGACACATCCTTTCTTCTTTGATAAATGGACAAGGGCAGGGCTCCTTAGCCAAGCGGGCTCTGGGGGACCTGGGAGGCCCCTGAGTGGCACATTAGCAAGAACTTCCTTGGTGTCAGCACGGAACTCGGGAAACCCCAGAGAAGCGGGGACAGCTGGTTACCTCGTCCGCACGAGGAAGCCTTTTGAATTATCCCCTGGAAAAAGGATCTGTAAGTTTCCAGTCCTTCAAAGGGTTTGTGTCCCCCAAAGATTCGGAAGCAGTGCACGGGCGACCATCTCAGAGAGAGACGGAGACTTGAGGATTCCTCTAAACACCGGGTTGGCAGGGGGTGAGCTGTGTGGGCACGAACGTGCGCTCTTCTCGCCGGCAGGCACTTCCGTCTCTCTGGCCACCGCTCACTCCGCTGACCCAGTCACCGGGCGTGAAGCCCAGGGCTGCTTCGGCCGCAGCAGCCGGTGGGTGGGGGGACCCGAGCCCACCGCCCACAGACCCTGTCCCGGAGGCACATCCTTGGGCCGAAATGCTGGCAGGAGGTGCCGCGGTCTGGTTTTGCATCCTGTGACCGTCCTTTGCCTCCTGTCCCCGGAGGATTTCTGGACGCTCGTGGTATCCAAGTCTTCCATGACAACTTCAAGCTGCAGCCACGAGTATGAGACCCTCACGTGGGCGGTAGATCTTTCTCACGAGAGAGGCTCGGCTCTCGTCCGTGATCGACACACACCTCTCCAAGCAACCGCAGCGTTGGGCAACCCGTCTTCCCCTTTCTTGCCCTTCCTTCATCATGTCTCCCTCACGAAGCTTCCATAAACGTGTAGGCCGTCCACTTTCTCTTCCTAGGCCCCGAGCGACGCAAAAAACAGCTACCACCCGCAGAAATCGGGTCTCAGAGAGGCCGGAGCTCGTCCTGCCTCCACCACTTGTCCGCCGGGTGGCCTTGAATGACGTGTTTTGGCCCCAAGAGCCCTTATTTTCTCAGTACAAAGGGCAGGTCATCATCACAGGTAACACTTTCAAGCATTCACCAAGGCAGGCCCTGCTTGGGAGCTTCCTGTGCAGTGACGGAGAAATCTCTCAACAGCCCTGCCAGGCGGGTATTATTATCCTCTCTTAGCAGAAGAGTGGAACAAGGCTCAGGGACATTCAGGGATTTGCCCCAAATCACTCAGCCAGCAAAGAGCAGAGTCAGGACTGCCCCCCCGCCACCCCCCCAGAGCCAGCAAGCCGTCCACCATTCCTCATGGGACTGTGAGGGCCGGAGAGAACTATCTGGAAGACGCAACAAGCTCAGGGCTTGAACGCAGGCTTGCCGCCTGCAGCCGTCAGGAGATGTTGATAAGGCAAGTGGCACCACCGTGATCATCACTGTCACCGTCACCGAGAATGCTCCAGGGACTGTCATCCCGGAACAGCGGCATCAGCGTCATCCGGAACTCGTTACCAACGCAGATTCTCTGGCTCTTCTCCAGACTCACTGAGTCAGAAAGGCTGGGGTAGGGCCCAGAAATCTGTCAGAACAAGCCCTCTGGGGGATTCTGGTGTGTGCCCAAGGGTGAGAACTTATCCAGCCACCAAGGGAGTCGGGGAGGACAGATGAGAAAACCCAACGCTCAGAGTAGGAGAAAGGCTCACCCGCGATCTCACAATCGGGTCTTCACTCGCATCTTGTGACCCAGACCTTGCTCTCTGGGCTACATCCTGCTGCTTCTCCTGCCTGCAGCTCACCACGAAGGGAGGGGACTGGCAAATAACGCACTCCCGGTGAGCCGACAGGAATGGTGGCATGATTGGGCCCTTCCAAGATTTGGAGACAACTCTCCCAAAATAAATCTCTTAGCTAAACAGACATTTTCCAAAAGGCATCATCATTTCCCAGAATACAGAGTGACCTAGAAACTGAGCCCAGAAAAGAACCTTTGAGATGGACGGAACTCCCTTCCTTCTCTCCTTACTCCTCCCCTCTCCTCCTCTCTTTCTTTCTCCCTTCCTTATTTTTGGAAGAGCTTAATATTTAAACATCAACTAATTTAGTATCTTCATTTATTTATTCCTTCAACAGACATTAACTGAACAGTCATTATGTGCCAAGCCCTGGGCTGAGCACTGTGGTTCCAAGAGCTCGAAACCCTGGAGAACAAGTTAAAGACCACATATAGGTCTCTACTCCCATTCCTGTTCCCATCAGTGTACTTATGAGTGCAGGTACATTCCAGCAAGGCAGAACAGGGGAGGACAACAATACCTAGAAATGGTGTTCTTAAAGAACCTAAAACATAGTAAAATTTTTACATTATTAGTAATTTTCATCAAGTCCTCTTTGCATTTCTAAGTTTTAAAATAACTTTATATGTTTAGCTGCTATGTTGTTTGGTGCATACAGATTTTATCTCATACCTTCACAAACTGACCTTTCGTGTCATTCCACAAGAATTATGTTTTCCCATTCAGTATGTTTAACCTTAAATTCCACGTTATCAGACAGGAATATTGCCAATGCTGCTTAATTGTTTCTCTGTATTTGGCTAGAATCACTTGGCCTATCTCTTTATTTTTAAGTCGTTTTAAAATCAAAGTTTGGCTCAAACATTTCATTTAACAATTGATATATAATATTTTACTCCACTAAGCTTTTAAAACTCAATTTTGGCTGAATGGCTCCTGAGAAGAAAAAGACTCAAAGAGGAAAGGAAAAAGATGGGGGAGAAAAAGGTTAGCCATGAAGACTGCTTTGACTTAGTGACCTCAGATTTATAGGAATCTGGAACCAACGAAGCAGACAGAGGCAAAGATGGTGGTGGTGTGTGGGAGAGAACAATTAAGATGAAGATGGAAAAAAGCTGAGTAAAAATGTTAGCTGGGGATGGGTGATGCTGATCTAATCAGGAAACGTTAGGTCTCAAAGATTCCTTGGACTAGAAAATCCCCGCTGGCTCATTCTACAGAGAGGTACGCAACTTGGCAAGAGGATCACACAGCCTGGTGGACAGGGCTGCGACCACATTCCCATCCTTTGGGACACCATGTGTCTCAAGCCCGGGTAACTGGAGGAACAGACTACGTTCTGGACGATTCACTCAGAAAAATCAGGCTAAAACTTCCTTACTAAAGTTAGCAAGGAAATGTGGAAGATCAGACTGCAGTGTGGTAAGAGTGGTTATGAGCAAGTTGTCATTAGTGTAATTTATATTTCCTTCTGTGTGCTTTTAGCTAAGTGGGGACACACAGTGACTAGAGTGGACCAGTTCTAGAAATGCATCAGGAGAGCTGGAAGGATGACTGAATTAGCGGGAGAAATGAAGGCTTAAATACATGATACCTGAGAGCCTTCACATTAAAAATGCACATGAGGGGCGCCTGGGTGGCTCAGTGGGTTAAAGCCTCTGCCTTCGGCTCAGGTCATGATCCCGGTGTCCTGGGATCGAGCCCCGCATTGGGCTCTCTGCTCCGCGGGGAGCCTGCTTCCTCCTCTCTCTCTGCCTGCCTCTCTGCCTACTTGTGATCTCTCTCTGTCAAATGAATAAATAAAATCTTAAAAAAAAAATGCACATGAATGGGGAGGCATGATTCAATTTACTGAACCATGAAAACATTCGCACATGATGAGGTCCCCAGGCACCTGCGACCACACGCACACACCAGTGGAAGTACCAAGACAACCACACACATGGGGAAACCAGGGCCGGGGTCGCAGAAAGAAGTGATCTCAATTTCGCTCAAAGCACGGGAATGAGATCTCGGGTTTCTGGTATCCAGACCTTAGAACATCGTTTCTGAGATCTGAGCATGCTTGGAGAGGAGGTCACTGAAAATGTGGGCATACTCACGTCTGCATAGATGTTAGTTCCAAACACAGGAGCCCAGTAGGATGGCTCGTCTTTGCAGTGTGCTGGACACCGAACCCTGGAAAACCAGAAACATGCATGTGATGGTTCTGATCGGCAGAAGACAAAAGTTCTTGAGAAACAGCTGGCCTTCCCCATTTGGATTTCAAGATCTAGTGGCTTACCCGGGAAAGGAAACTATCACACAGTTAACTCTTTAAGAAAAATAACATCTCTTCCCACCCTAGCAGTGGTAAAGCTATTTTCCCTCTTCGTAAACACCGCATATAGAATTTTCCAACTCCGTACAAAAGAGACACGCAGAAATAACACAGCGAGAGAGGATAAATTCATGAGAGTCGAATACGGGATTGTGAGATATGGTACCTCCTGTTTTCAGGCGTTGGCCGGTTCATATCATGGGCACACTATGGAGATTATAATCAATTGACTTTGTCAAAGGCCGCTTTCCTATGTGAGGGAGGAAAGGGTGGAGGGCCCTCACCTCAGTGAGTCAAACTATCCCAGGGAGGGGGCACTGATAACCTGCGGCCGAAGGGGTCAGATCACCACTGGGTCAGTCACCACTTCCTGCTGTAGGCAGAGAGGATGAGGAGAGAACCTCACACTGGAAATGGGTGGGTCATAGGTGGTGGGAGATATTCAAGCCGGGGGGAAAATGCATGAACTTTATTTAAGAAAAGGTTTTTTTGCCTTTATCTGGAACATGTTGCTGGAGCCAAGATGGCAGCCGGAAACCATCTGGCCCCAAGAGAGACAGGATTCTGGCAGGGAAGAGAGCCCAGGAAAAGGCAGTGAAAAGCTAAAACAGTCTGGAGGCATGGGGGAGGGGACAAGGGCGGGCAGAGAGGAGGAGGATGTGCATGTGAGATGCTCAAAAAGAAAAAAGAATTTGGGCAAGAAAATTCTTGCCTACTGTTTCTAGAATGGCAGGTCAGAAACCTGTCTCTTCTATACTTGTCTATGTCAAGTTCTTTGTTGTTGTTCATTTGTGTTTTCTGAAATAACTTCCTTCTGCTTTAAGATTTAGGTTAATGATTTAATATTCAGTAAAAGGTTGTCCTCCTTGATTGAACATGCAAAGGGGGTCAGCGTGGTGATGGCCGTGACCTTGGGAGCCTGTGAGAAAGCCCCAAGGGGAACGTGGGCCACAGAGTGGGGGACCTGGGGTCCCCGCTCAGTGTCTCCTCCCTCACTAGACCCTCCTGGGGCTCTTCCCTGCTCACACCTAGGGGGTGTCCACAGGTTAGTTTAAGGTCAGTCTGTAAGAAAACCCATAGGCTTCAAGGCCCCCAGAGAAGGAGTCACAGCTCCGAGAGGACCCATTAGGTACGTCAGAAGCAGATGTTACCAAGTGTTACTTTATTTCCGGTTGCATCACCCTCCAAAAATCAGCCAGTAAAGTTTGGGGGGGGGCACGTTTAAAATCTACTCTTTAGACAAACTGTGGTCCAGGCACAGACTAGAACCCCGCACGGTGACAGGAGAGAAGAGACCACTGACGTGCTCGTGGCACAGAAGAAACTCAAAAGCATTATGCAGAGGGAAAGGCTCCATATTAGGATGGCTCTGTTTAGGCGAAATGCTGAGAAAGGCAAAATTATAGTGACAGAACGTAGACCAGTGGTTGGCAGGGACATGGGGGCAGAGGTGGAAGGAGAGGGGTGACTTGAGGCAACTTTCTTGCATGCTGGACACTCGATCGTGGTGGTGGTGGCAGCATGATGGGGACGTCTGTCGAGACACATCGGATTGTACACTCACCGTGGGTGGGTTTTATCGTGTGCAAGTTACACCTCAGAAAAGTTGGGCTGTAATGAGCTGATTCTCAAGTGACCCAGAGAAAATGTCAGAGATGAAGCCCAAGAATCAACGGGCGGATAAAGGGGACAAGAGACCCCACGAAGCTTTTACTAAGGTGATTCCCCGCTGGGCCGCTCCCTGAGACTCAGATCTCAGTGGTCTGGGCAGGGGCCTGGGAAATCCGTTCTGTTGATGTCTCTCAGGCAATTCCAACCCCACCCGCCCTCCTCCCCACCCCCAGCCATGGTGGAGAACCAGAGGTCTCGGGGAGAGGTCCAGCGGGTCTGGAAGCCTGAGCACAAAGCAGTCGGTTTCCCCGGCGTCCGCACCCAAGAGCCACGCCTAAACCTTGGTTATGCTTTGCTGCATGAGACGATGCCCCAACCCGGCCCTATGCCTCCTTCCCTCAGCCCTCGTGTTTGCAAAACCAGAGGCCAGTGAGCCTTACCTGGGGCAGTGGGTCCCCGCCTTCTCGAACGGGCAGAGCTGAGCGACGGTGCTATAGCAGTCCACGTCCTGCACTGGGGAGAGGAACACGGCGGGAAACGGTCAAGTCATTGGCAAGCCTGGGTCTCAGGCCTCCAGCCTGTGAGATGGCCCGCCGGCCCCCAGGACCTAGGGGCTCATGGGACCCTCTCACAGAGGCGGGATCAGAAGCCAGCAGCTGCTGAGGCCTAGCACCGCAGGCACCTCACCTCGGGCCCCTGAACAGGCAAGACGCCCCATGGCCCGAGTGTGTCCACACTCGGGAAGCATCCCCGGAACCGACGATATCTCTCATTGCTCCCCTCCTTGGTCCTCATGGCAGGTATTAATCTAATTATCCAGAGGAGGAAGTAGAGGCCTAAAGGCCAGAGACTACCCTAGGTCTGCACGGGACATGGTGGGAAGCGGCTTTCTGATTCCCTGCCTAGAGCTCCTCTTCAAAGTCACTTGTTTTTAACGGAGGTAAGAAAGTGGCTCTTGCACTGGCTGCCTGTGGTCTCTGAGCACATGTCCTCAGCTAGCCCCAGGTGTAGCAAACCTTTCCCAAAGGGCCAGAGGCTAAATATTCCTGGCTTGGCCTCCGTATGGACTACATGGCAACCACTCGACTCTGCTACTGTAGTAGAAACTAGCCACAGCAGACGTGTAAATGAATGGGAGCGACTATGTGCCAATAAAACTTTATTTGCAAAGACAGATGGCAGGAAGGATTTGGCCCTGAGGGTGGTCGTTTCCGCCAACCGCTGGTCCAGCCTATCATTTGGACGGGCCCGAGATCTAGGTAGCCATCAGGGACTTGTTCTGTACCCCACGGGACGCTACACAATGGAAGGCAGGGAAGGTCATTAAAATTAGGTTGAGAACACCACTAAAAGGCACAGAATAATACATTATTATTTAATTCTCTTTCAATTCTAGAAAGCGTATCAATGCATTACCAGTGCAAATACTGTTAATCATCGGTAAAATAAACCATAAAGGTATCCACCAAAATGTTCACAATGTTATCTCTGAGTGGCGGAAACTGGGCCAAATCCTTTTTTTTTTTTTTTAATGCTTATTTGTATTTTTTAATTATCTGGAATAAATAGGCATTACTTTTGTAAAATGGATAAAAAGCTGCTACATGTTTTTATAAAAACACCTAACCAGATATTCCTGCATCCAGGGCCTATGACGACAAGAACCGCTTTCCCAAAAGAAAGGAAGGGTCGTCGGGCCAATTTCCCGAGGAAGCATCTCGCTTGCCTGGGACCATTCCAGTCAAGTGCCCAGACTGGAAAGTTCGAATTCACAGCTCCCCTCTGCCTATGGCATGCTCTCCCATGGATGCATCCCACCCTGCCACATGAACGTGCCCTGGGCAATAGAAAATACAGGCAATAGGAAAGCGAGGCCAGAGAGGGCAAGTACGTGCCACGTGCTTCTTCCTGTTTCCCTTCGGTGTTCACGCAGACGTTACTGGTCTATCAACCCCCGTTTTCTGATGAGCCCAGAATGATGCTTCAGCACCCTTCTCACAGGCTCCCACTGCTACTGTCCACCAGTAGAAACGGACTCTTCCTGTCAGGCATTCTAGACCCAGGCATTAGAATTTTTGTGACACTCAGCTGGGAGCCCCAGTCCTGTTTCTGGTTTAGCAATTGAAGGCCAATGCCATGTTCAGATATGTTTAGAAAGTAGTTAAAGAACTGACCTCATCAGGAAAAAGCCTTTACATGCTGAGAACAGCAGTGTTAGCAGGCATCAAATGCATTTAATCAAAAGCTAAGGAGAATGAAAACTCCAGGGAAACTCAAGATAATCTGTGTATTATGGTCACACAGAAAAAGACTGGCCAGCTTACCTTTTACTTTTGACACCACGAAGGAGCTGGAAGGCTTGTATTTGCTGGAAAAGAAAACATGAGCTAAATGCAAACAGACTCATTCCTAAAAGAGCAAGATGGCTCCTGCGTTTGTTTCCAGACTCCACTTTTTATCTTCCTATCTTTTTAGATTCCTACTGCCCGAAAGCTCTTAGAACATCCCAGAATAGGACTCTTTAACTTTCTCTGTGCCGAGAACCCCTCTGATAGCCTGGGGAAGCCTACGGACCCCTTCTCAGGATAATGACTTTAAAAGGCATATGATAAATTTAAAAGATTAACAGGGAGTCAGCTATTAGTGATGCTTTTTGTTATCCAAGGATTAAGGCGGCTTTGCGTCTGAGTGATAGCCGAACTTCCTTGTGAACGCAGTAAACACACATCTCGAGAGGCGAGTCTTCTAACCACTATCCTTTTAGGGTAATCATGGCAGAGACCGGCTTTTCAGATTCCCCCCTGCCCCCCGCAACCGGATTTCTCCCAGTGAGAGGGTCACTGGCCCCGCTAGCGCTACTCTGGTTTGGGGCTAGCATTCATACCCGCAGGAAATACATTTCAATTAGAAGTTAAAGAAAACAAAGCTCTGATCTTTGTGTGGATGTTTGCAGACTCCCTAAAACACAAAGAACCCTGCTCCAGATGCAAAGTTGGCCCCCAGGAGGGCCCAGAAGCGGCTCTGGGACAAGCATGCCAGGCCACGCAAGGCCCACACCTGGCTGGTGCCTGTGCTGAGCCTTGCGTGGCTGGCATTAGGTCACCCGGCCTCCGAGAACATGTTCTTTGCTTCCGGTTAAACTTCCGCGCTCGTGTTTACACAACCCCGGCGTCCCTAGCTAAAATGGAGAGAGAATTTTGCAAGACCTCTTGAAGAAGCAGGCCTTTCAAAGGGGAATGACTCATGTGCTTTCTGAAGTGTCCTGAGCAGAGCTCCCCGGAACACACACACAGGGGCTCTGGTCCCCATGGTCCTTGCTACAGACCTTGGGATAGGCACTGACACGGGAAAGTCTCTTGAGGCGATGCGCCGTGGCCCGGGGCTGTGGGGGGCTGAGGCAGGGTCCCCAGTGTCCCCGCTAGGCTGGGCTGGGTTCTAGGTCCTGGATGGGGAAGGGGCCCCTGGGCGTGGGGTGGGGGAGTGTTCTCAGGGCTCTGGGCAGTAGATCTTTCCTTGCAACGGTGGGAGAGGAGTCACATGTTAAAAACTGACTAGCTGTAGCTCTGGGGATGAGATGGGGGTCAGCTCTGGGTCCTACCAGGGCCCTCTTTCACAAGCAAGGTACTGCCACCCAGAAGGGATGAAGAAATTAGACCAAGATGAGGGGAGGGGGCAGAGCCCATTGCCGGGCTCTGTGCTCCCCAGTTCCTTTATGGCTCTGACTCTACAGACAGACCACGATGTGGCCTCCCCCACCGCGAAAGTCAAGATGGGGAGGATGGGCTGCCCAGCATCCATCTGCAGACCTAGCTGTAAAACAGTATCTTCCACCAAGAAAAAATAAATCAATCTATTTTAAAAATGGAAAGCCTCATTCTCCAGAAAGAAAAAAATGCTATTCAAGAATAAACCTATGAACTCAAGGATGGGAAGCAAAGAGAGGGTCAAAACTCAGCCCAAAGGAAACACAGGAAAACCCACGCAGGGGAGAGATGGCAAATCGTCTGTGGGGGGAATTTTGAGCTACGGAGTTAAGTCTTCACAGGTTTTTTTTTTTTTTTCCTGCTTCTTTATATTGTCGGGTGCTTCTCGAAATTTCGACAATATCTTCAAAACCAGGAAGAAGGAACCCTCATCGTAGTTACCTCAGAGACTCCACGCCATTCCTCTCAGACCGGACGAAGAAAGGGACCTTCCCGTTCCTGGTGACGTCCACCAGGCCACCTCTGGCGTCCAGGATTCCGTAGTGAATGGCGGCCCGGCATATGCTGGACGACTGGGGGCAGGGAGAGGGGGCACCGTAAGTATGTCTGAATTCACCTTTGTCCGGGCTTCTTTAGAAATGTCCAGGGTGTTTGTCCTCAACCCACAGAAAAGCCGAAATGTCTGGCCAAAGCTCACCGGCACTTCTGACTCACCTTTCTCTAGAACACGGCTTTGTTCCCGGGGCTGCTTATCTCAGAAAACTCACCCGAGGGGCTTTACGAGCGGAGAGCGGTGACAAACAGCCCTTTCTCCCCATCCAGTGGAGCATGTTAGCGCCCGGTCTAGGATGGAGACTCCCCTTCCGAGGGGGAGCCCCCGTTCCCCAAAAGTGGCTTTACTAGTCTGCACGCCCACAGACAGGCGCGGGTCGGCTCTTGGACAGAGGCAGGGGAAGGAAATCCTGCCGTGTGAGAACCACCCGCCTCCCTTCCAAACGCACGACGGCCGTCCGCACGGGCACTTACACTTTCGTAGAAGAGAGTCCCAAAGACCTTGGCGTGGTTGTTCAGACAGCCCGCGGGGCACTGGTACCTGATGGAGAAGAAGATTTTCGGAGGTGAAGATGTTGAGGGGCTCTCACCAGGAATCTACCCGGGTTCGTCTCCTTCAAAAGCTCGACTCTGACCTCAGAGAGGAGGTCCAGGGACGCGAAACCCGCTGCGTCCAGGCGAGTCACGATTTCCCCAGGCTGAAGTTCACGCCAACACCATTCCAGGCTCAACCAGGCCTTCTTTTCACGTGTTTAGGACTCATGGTGAAGGCAGAGGTGCAAATTCAAGGACAATTCACAGAAGACAAGTGGTTTTGAAGGCGCACACGTACATTCTCAAACACCCATCGTCGAAGAAGGTACAACTGGAGAGGACATGCCTCCTTCCAGGTGTCGAACCACAAGAGTGTTTTTTTTTTATAGAATAAAATCCAGTGAGGATTATCCTGCTCCCTGAAATGTCTAAATCAATCTTTCCAGAAAGCCTTAAAAATTTGCTTTCTCCCATTCTCGAACTTTCCTCGTAGGCATATAAACCCAAGCCAGAGGTCGGAAATTCAGACCCCATGTTATTCCAAGTGTCCGGCATCATGAAAAACTAGAAATGAAACCAGCACCGCCCAAGGAACAGCCAAGCCTGTGTTTGCACGGCCGTATGTTGGAGTCTGATGCGCTCCCCGAGCAATGAAGTCTTTGAAAAGTTTGTGACTTGGGAAAACCTTAAATGAAAACGGTAGCTCACAAGCTTCAGCGTCAGTGGCGGGAACCTCCCCAGGGCCCAGAGAACACACGGGAAGGGACTACATCTAATTGCTACAGATCGAGGAGATGCTGTGACACTGGTTTTTTTTCTTTAAACGCTGGCGGTGGTGCTGTTTTCCTGAATTACTTCCCCTAAACAAGAACACCTTTTAAAGTCAGGGGGGGAAAGGGCCCAACAGATATTATTTTGTCAAAGCACCAGGTGATGGGATGCCTTCGAGGAGACAGACGGTGGATGCACTTGAATTATATAGTTCTCCATCAGTGGCCTCAGACAGTCCCTCTACCTGCTTGCGGTGGGTCCCAGCAAGCCCCGACTCTGGAACTTTCTCAAGGCTATCTATGCGTGTTCTCCAAACTTCTCATTTTTCCCACTGACTACTCAGGCGTGATGCTCTCATAATGAGCTTGTGGCCCGGAAAAGTACGGCAGCGCAAAGGGACCACTGAGCGTTCCAGACACCCCAGTGCTGTGCAGACATGCCCAGACACCGTGCATGGGGACGGTGGAGCCACCAGTCCTCAGTGCCACAGGCTGCCCATCTCACCGGCAGACTGGCCGATTTCCTCTGCAGGACACGCCAGCCAGCTGCTCAGGGGACGCATGAGTCCTGGAGCGACCTCATCCCGGGTTGCTCAAAGTCTACTTCCTGATGCTCGTGCCCAAGTCCAGCGGTGGGGGCGGTGGGGGGCGTCCTCGGGCCAAACCAAATTCCAAAGCCCCACAGCATGAAGTAGGAGCCGTCACCTTCTCTTTTAAGTAACACGGTTTGCCTTAAAGGAACGGCTGCCAGAAGCCGGAGCAAGAGGGGTAAAGACCACTCGTGACCGCGGACGTGGTTTTCCAACCGTGAACCCGAGGTTCCTCGTAAGGCTGCTGCACCTGCCGGCCATTTGCTGCCAGAAAGAGCAGCCTAGCAGCCACATTGCCAAAACCAAACCCGTCCTTCTTGGCCACCAGTCTCCAACATCTGGATGGACAAGGCTGAGTGAATCCATCGGCGAGATGACCTCATCTGACGACCGGGGAACACGGCCTCTGTCAGTGGCCAACACCGCCAGCTCACGTGTGCCCTCCCATGGCCCCTGCCCTGACATCCCCTGCACGGCACCCCAGGCCACCGTGTGACCCCCTTCACGCACACAGCTGGAGTGGAGCCCCGACCTCGCAAGGTCTCCTGGGGGTGATCGGACCCTCCGGGAACGGTGCGCAATTTCTGTAGTCACCACGGCTGGAGGTGGGGGTGCTCCTGGCATCCAGGGCCTTGAGGCCAGAATGCTGCTCGTTCCCTACAGGCCACGGGACAGCCTCACCACAGAGAATCATCGGCCCTAAGCACCACGAGCACCAAGGTCAGAAGCCCTGCTCTGAGCTGAGAGACACAGGTCATCTTCATGGGCCAAGCTTTTCTCAAACGGTGGCTGCTGGAGGGACCTCGGAGACATCATGGTCTAACCTATGACACGTCCCACCCCCCACGGCCGGCCCTTCGAAGGAAGGGCTGCGGGCGTCCGTGCTGGAGGGCCCGGCCCAGACCTCACCTGTTGCACGTGGATCCTTTGCACTTGTCCTTCATCTTCGTGTCACACCGGACAGCCTGGGCTGGGAGAGAAGGACAAGAGCGCACGTCACACCAACGGGGCATCGGTCTGAGGTAAAAGATACCACCCCGGACTCCAGAGAACTTTCTGGAACATCCTGGAACCCATGTCATAACCCGAGCAGGAACACTCATGGCTGCAGGCTTCAGCTGTTAGGCTCGAGTCCCAGGCCCGGCCTTTCAGAGTAGCTGCGTGACCTTGGACAGGGCCTTCTTCCCTAGTCTGAGGTTCAGTTTCCACAGAGACCAGCAGGGATAAGTGTCACGGGTGCTGCTTCTGCGAGCATTCACTGAGGGAGTCACTGTGACCTTGGAAGGGGGCCTGGCCCATACCCAGTGCCCTGAAGCCCCGGAGGGTTCTGGAAGGGTGGGCCTCACAGCCTCCTCCAGCCAAGACAAGCTCTGTCAAGCTCTCCTTGTTTATTTTCTAGGGACACATGAGAATCTGGGCACAGTGTTACGGTTTGATAGTGCGACACTGACACGCCCATGAGGACAAAGACTGCTTGGGCAGAGCAGGGAGAGAGCAGCCAAAAAAGCCCGGGGTGGTGGGTGTTCAGAGAAGCATGAGCTCGCCCCTGCTCAGGGTGAGGGGGCCCCACTTTATGCCGTTGGCAGCTCAGGGGGACGCGGAGAACCCCAGGCAGACAGCCCAGGCCTGTGTCATGCCTGGGGGGGAAATGTCCCGAGGGAGCCCCAAACCTTCCATTAAGGGGCTGGATCGGGGACATGGAACGTTGGGCTCCAGCCGGGGCTGGGGAGGGCAGAAAGAAGGAAGCCGTGAGGTGAGTGCGTGGGCAGGTCAGGGGAAAGCCGGATGAGGGCTGAGTGCGACAATCTCTCAGTGGAGGGCATCCAGGAGCCCTGAGGGGAGCCGTGGGAGGCACTGTGCTGATGGGCTCAGAGCCGACACTGGGTGGCCCCCGTTATGGCAAGTGATCCGCAGAGCAACCCCGCGTGGGCCTTATCGCCCCCTTGTATGGATGAGCAAACCAAGTCTCACAGAGGCCAGTGGGGGTCTGGTCACCAGCGAGCGGGCCTGGGGAGGCCCGTCCCGCTGGAACCTCCATGGGAACCCAGCTTGAGCCCAAGCTCCCTTTCAAAGGAGAAGGTCTAACTTTGAAATGCCAGCTGGGGAGAAATGCCACCCAAGCCCCACTCCCATGATGCTTGCTTTGGAAAGGACTTAAAAATATCATTTTTTAAAATGCTGCTGCAGGGGCGCCTGCGTGGCTCAGTGGGTTAAAGCCTCTGCCTTCGGCTCAGGTCATGATCTCAGGGTCCTGGGATGGAGCCTGCTCAGCAGGGAGCCTGCTTCCCCCTCTCTCTCTCTGCCTGCTTCTCTGCCTACTTGTGATCTCTCTCTCTCTCTCTGTCAAATAAATAAATAAAATATTAAAATAAATAAATAAATAAAATGCTGCTACACTTCCCCGCTGTGCCCCACTGTTTGCTAACCCGGAGACCTCTCGGGCCGCCCCCTGCCCCCACCACCGCCCCAGCACAGGCAGCCCGAGGGCAGAGGACAGAGCCGCACTCACTCATGTAGCTCACGGCGGACGCCTTCTTGGGCTTCGTGGGTCTGACCACCGTCGGCTGGACCCAGACGTGCTTGTCATCGGGAACGGGGGCCGCCTCTACTTCGTTCATCTCGTCGGTTTCCGGCTTGGGGCTGGACGTCAAAGTCTCTTCTTAAGAATGAAGAGGACAAAAAAGAGAACACGAAGAGGGGCTTTCAGCAAAAATGCACTTTGCAGGGAAAATGGCAACGGGGAAGCTGGACTGGCTGGAGGTTCTCGGTCACAAAGGGTCGGGCCTGTGGCCGAGAAACAGGGACGCTGCAGAGCAGGGCCGGCCTGGGGGGGTCCTAACGCTAAGGCGAGGCGAGGCTAGGCAGCCGGGTCTCCGCGGGCCGCGTTCACCATGGAGCCGGGAGCAGCCGGGCCAACCTGGGTGATCCCAGCGGCTTCTTGTCCCTCCTCCCACACGCCACCACCTGCCCAAGGAAGCAGCTTCAGGAGGCCGAGCCCAAACCGGCACGGTCTCCCCTGAGGACCCTCTGGCCCCCGGGTTTGCCAGGGAGGGGTCTCCACAGTCTTGTGCCCACCGTGGTGCAGGATGACCCGTGTCGGTGTCTTTGGACCACGATGCACCCCGGCCGCAGGCCCGCTCTGCTCCCTTCCGCAGCCCCGAGTCCTCGCTCACCAAGCCGACGCCCTTCTCTGCGCCGGAGCTTCTCGGCCCGGCCCGTAGGACCCGGCCAAAGTCCCGCTCTGGTTCAAAACGGAGTCTCTCCCCTGGATCCCGTACGTCTCCCACCCCGGTGTTCTCTCTCCTGCAACCCTGCCCCACAGCTTTAGCACGTTAATTAGCCAAATTCCATTTCTCGGGAGCATCCGTGTGTCTTCCCGGGTTCGTCCTGAGAGACACCTGGAAGCGCTCGTCAGAGCCCACCTGCAGGCCATCATGCACCGAGCCATGAGGCCCCGCCAGTGCACAGAACAGTCCGGCTGTTTTTATCTGCCCGTGTGGCCTCGTCTAGGACTACGTGGTGTGCACCCTCGTGGGGGGTGCGGGCCTCCCACTTTAGTGCGCCCGCCCATCCCCCAAGGGTGTCTGAAGACCAGAGCTGGAAAGCCCCGTCTAGGGAGCCCCTCCCAGGCCTCTCTGTGGCACTGGATTAAAATTCAAGCGGGGACAAGGGCTGGTGAACACCCGCGGCTCATTCCCGGTTGTCCTCAGCAGTGACCGCTCTGCTCCAAAGGGGCACCAGGTGTTTTGTGGCTACGCAAAGCAAGCATCCAGAGCCAGGGCCAATTCTCCAGGGCTTTTCAAGGCCGGAATGTGCTGCATCTTTTCCAGGGGCCCGTCCCCACCCCCCACCCCCCAAGCCATGCACAGCCGCCATGCCACCTGGGTGAGGAGATCGGGTGGGGTTTAAGCCGGGGCAGTCCGGAGCCCAATGGCATCCTTATCAGAGCTCTGTTGACAGCCATGAGGCCACCACCACCTGCCCCTCCCACCAGCTGCCAACTCCCCGGGGCCAGGAGCCAGCCTGCTTCATCCCTGTCCCCTCCCAACCCCAGACACCCGGCTCCCAGCCAGCTTCGCTGAACAAAATCTGCTGAATGAAGGATGAACTAAGCCGTAAAGAATTCTCTCTTTGGGTTCTTTCAGGAAAAAAAGAGAGAGAAAGAGAGAGAGAGAGAAGAAAAGAGTCCCAGCTGAGTTTGAGGACCTTCACAAGAGAATTCTGAAATCACCACTTGGAGGCCAAAGCTATAGGCGAAATCTTTAGGAAGACGCTGGGTTTGCAAATGCCGCTCGGCCCACATGCTCCATCCCGGGTCTGCTCTTGCCATCAGTGGGGCTCTTCAGCTCTGCCCTCTCTGCCGGCCCGAGCCGTCTCCAGAATGAGCCGGGTTTTCTTCCACTGGCCTTTAGGATTTTTATACCTCATAATCGCGGCTTTATTCGGCCGAATATAGTTTGGCAGAGCCATCTAAAGCGTTTGAGGGTCACTATTTAAGAAAATGGGCAGACAGTCCTCACCCTCAGACGCACACATGAAAGGGGATGCTCGCCCAGACGACAGCCTGTATTTGAGCACATCCCAATTAAGATCCCCTGTGCGGAGCAGCTCGGGCCTGGGGAAGTTCCACACCCGAGTTCACCGCAAGGTTACTGTGTGCACGGTGCATCCTGGACCCGAGGTCTCGGGCCCCACGACATTGCTTACAGCCCCCTGCAGACGCCTACCTGGCTCTGTAGGTAGTGATAGAACTCAAGGCTAACGGGTACTGGGCACACGCTGACTCTCTGCCGGCTTGGTGCTTCCTTGGCCTGCACGCCTCGCTCCCTGGGAGGCCCGATCGGCCCCATTTCACAGACAGGAAAACCGAGGCTCAGAGAGGCTAAGAGACCTGCCCAAGCTCACACAGCCAAGCGTCAAGCTGCCCGGCCACACAGCCCACACCCTTCATGGCCACACGGGTTCACAGTTTCAGGCTGGAGAGATGGAAACTTCTCGAATGATCTATCTTTAACACTGACCCATCCCCATTATAGGTCAAGGCCTTTCGGGGCCCCTCAATTGGTGCTGATTAAGTAGCTTATGCAGATAACCGGCTTTACCAGAGACTTTCTGCCTGGTTAGCTAAGAAAGCTGGGATGCCTGCCAAGGGGACTTGGGAGTTTTCCACCAAAAATAAAGAAACAAGCATAAAGGCTTCATTGGGTGGGTAACCCAGCATCTGAGGTGTCTTTGTGTGCATGTGTCCTTTGAAAATGACCCTCTGGGCATATGGGTGGTATATGCATTCGCCCGCAGGCAGAACACATCTGCTCTGCGACCCCGGAGCCCTCAGAGCCTACTGGCTATTGGAACAACAAGTGACCAGGCATCCAGGAAGAGTCTGGGGGTAGAGAGAGCACGGAAGCAGGTGCACTGTCTGTGTAATCAGGGAAGGCTCCCTAGAGGAGGTGTGACACCAGGCCTGTGTTTCCAAGGAGGAGAATGTATCTGCCAGGTTCACAGCATGGATGAGCCCCTACCCCCAAGACCTACAGTCCCCACCAGGTGAGGAAGGACCCCTGGCAAGGTGACAAGTGCAGTCATACCTCCCCACCCCTACTTCTTGGAGTGGATAACGAGTGTGTTTAGAAAGGGTTCTTGTGCGAGCCATTCACATCTTTCTCTGGGCATCCTCCCGGCAAAGCTTTTACAGACAGACTCTTACTGCCACTGTTACAGATGGGCAGACTGAGCCCCAGGCGGCACGCGGTATGCCCAAGCACACAGCTCTGGGAACCATGGAGACGACTCCTGGACCTAGCTGCTCTGGCTTGTGCGCCTGGAGGCCCTCCCGGAGGGGTTGACGGACGCTGAAAACAGCCCTGTGATCAGGCTCGAGCAAAGAACGGCAGGAGATCCGAGGAGGATCCTCCACGGGCCTCCCTCTCCTACGCTCCCCAAATTGACTCTTGGGACCTGACAAGGGACTCGCCCCTCCTGGGGGACTGGACGGCAGCCACAGGCTCTGCCTGCCAGGGACACAGGGAAGGGCCCGGACAGGCCCGAGGGCCAGTCTCCACCCACGATCTTGTCCTGCCATGACCCCCACTTCTAGGCAGGGAGACTGAGGCTCCCAGAGAGGGGGCGGCCCACCCAGTGGCCCGCAGCTGGCATGTGGCAGGAGTGCTCCTCCTGAAGCCAGCGCGCCGGGCTCTAGCACCCGGGTTTTGTGGATGCGGGACCCGGAGCAGGGATTTCCGTGGAGGGGTTCGCTGAGGACCAGCGTGTGGCGCCCTGCTTGGAGACAGAGTCAGGGCGGGCCGGGCCGGCAGGACACACTGCTGTTAACAAGCCTCCCCGTCTCCTGGGCTCACGTTGGGCAGAACCAGCAGTGACCAGCTGGCCGGGACAATAGGACCCCGCACCCCAACCGGGTCTGGGACCCCATACCCCAGCCCACCTGTCTCTGCACCCCAGAGCCCCCTGGACTGCCAAGAAAAGCCTGGTGTGGAGAGCCGCCCGCTCCTGCATGCCCAAGCCTCCGGGGAGGCCCCTCTCTGCTGTCCCAGGGCAGCCGACGCGGCCACATGGACAACATGTCCCAAACACAAACACTCGGGGAGCCCCTCGGACCCACTTCCGTCCCCCCGGGGCTAGAGCCTGAGAAAATACTGCAAAACGTGAGCAACCATTCAGGCACCAGGATGTGTTACTTACAGCAGCGAGGACAGTGGAAAGGTCCCGGGAGGCCAACTAGAAACAAGGGCGAGGACTCGTGGCAGACACTCGGATCTGCCCGGGGCCACGGAGGGAAGGGAACCGTGAACACTTATGACGAATCGGGTGAGGCATCTGTGAGGGGCCAACGAGTGGAAGGAACGAGGCCCGCAGCCCGGGGGTGGGGCAAGCCCTGCCAGCCTGGAGGTCACCTGGGATAGGCGCAGTCCTGTTTGTCGTGTGTTTGTAACCAAACCATGAGAGCCGACCACAGCGGGGACGCGTGTGCAGCCAGCGCCCAGCGCAGGGTGGGGCCACGGGAGAGGCCTCCTGAAGGGATGTGCGGGCACAGCCCCGTGTCCCCAAGGAGCCGGCAGGGGGCTGAACTCCAGGGCTGGAGAGGGGGTCTGCCCACCACCCACGGCTGCACGGGCAGGAGGAGGGGTGGGGGAGGGGCGCCTTGACTGCAGTGTTCAGCTGGCCCGTTTGACGACAGCCCTTCCCGGGCCCACAGACAGAGGGGACAGCCACTCGGGGTGGCTTCCGAGTCACTTCCTACCTCGGTAACACAGGTTGTTCTTACAACCGCCCCCGTAGCTGGGCGGGCACTCGGAGCAGGGCCGGCCGGTTCTGTACGGGGCTTCTCCGATCCAGTTCCCCCTGCAGGAACACCAAAAACACCGTCAGGAGGGGCCGCCGCCCGAGCGCCGGGGCCCCTCCTCGCCCCTTTCCTGGGCTGTCCAGGGGAGGAAGGAGGGTGTGTGTGCCACGCAAAGAGGAAGAGGCTGCTGCACGGGGCCTAGAGAATTCTAGAAGAATCCCGGCGGGAGCTGGGACACCTCCTTCCTCCCCAGCACCGTGGTCCCGTCGCGCTGCCCGTGTCCTGCCTTACACGACTCTGAACGCTGTCCACCACCCCCTACCCCAGCCCCAACACCTTCGTCCTGGAGAGCTGCCGAGATCTGCCCTGTTGAGCCGTTTGTCAAAGAAGTAAAACTGTGTTCTAGGAAGGAGCTCGTGTTTACTAAGCTCCTACCGACCAGGTCCCTCCGTCCTTCTGACACTTTGCAGGGGCGTGCTGGAGTTCCACCCTTTCTCAGAGGAGGCCACGGGGGCTCGAAAGGTTAAGTGACTTGCCCAAGGCCACACAGCAAGCAAGTGGAGGGGCTCAGAGCCTTTGAGCACTCTGCCCTCAGGGTTGGGACCAAGGTCCGTCCAGATGTCACTGACACCGTCCACTTCCGTCTAAAGTTCCTGGCCATGAAAATGGAGGCTGGTCAGGGCCTGGTTCTCCAGGGACCAGGTAACAGGTGTGGAGCGGTGTCCCTAAGCCCCTCTCCCAGAGCCTGGGCCTCTGGCAGCACAAGCTGGAGCCATGCATGACGGGGGACCAGTCTTTGTGATTCCTTCTAGAAACTTCCTTCAGGGTTGACCTGGTGGGCTATTCAGGAAGGTGATCCAGAGCCCTACTGATAAGCCAAGCCTGGCCCGGGTGTCCCCCAGCCTCCCTCCACTGAGCAGTCCAGAGCGACTCCCCAAGTGGGACCCCTGCCCTGCCTGCCATGTGACCCCACCGCTGCCCTCAGGCCTGACCCTCTGTCTCCTTCTCTGTAACAGGGGCCACGGCAGGAGGTTGTGCAGTGACAGAGTGATGGCATGGAGGCCCTCAGCCCAGGGCCCTGCTCACGGTGAAGGCCGCGTGTTCCGTGAGTGCTTGCTAAATCAACAGGCCTGTCAGGCGGCATTTCTGACAGCTTCCCAGGGAGGTCCGGGGGCCCCCGCTGGTGCTGGGAGGTGAGGCGCCTGGCTCAGCGTCCTGCACGGCCAGGGGCTCAGACTCTTGGCTACACAGCTGTCAAAATGGCCCACTGGACAGAAAACACTATGCATTAATCTCCAACGCATGGCGCTGAGCAGGAGACACAGGGCAAGAAAGGACATACGTGTCTGGTCCATTCTCATGAGGGTCCAAAGCGGACACCGACCAGTGCAGAGGGATGTCAATGGTGGTAGTTACAGGGGTACACATGTGTCACACGGACTCAGTGTGTGTCTCCCCACCGCCCACTAATTGCCACGTTGAAGCCCTAACCCCCAGATGGCTGTGTGTGGAGACGGGGCATCCCAGGAGGTGAGTGAGGGAAACGAGGTCACAGGATAAGGCTCCAATCCACCAGGATCAGTGTCCCTAAGAGAGGGGACACTGGGGAGCCCCACTCTCTCCCTTGCTCCCTCTCTGTGCACACACAGAAGAATGGCCACGTGACGACACAGGGAGGAAGGGAATCACCAGCACCCAGAGGCACGCCCTGTCTCCACCTGGGACGCATGGCCTCTGGCCCCTGGTCATGGCCACGCAGGCTGGCTGGCCCACGCAGACACGTGTGGGGTTCATCGAGCCGCACACTTGAGACATGGGTACGATCCCTACGTTATTCTGTTTTTCAAGAAGACAGCTGGGCGCTAAGAAAGGCAGATTCTGTTTCTGATAGAATCTTCAGGTGTATTTCTTTTTTTAATATAAAGAGTCGAATCGAAATATCCATCACGCCCCACTGGCCACTCTGCTGGGGACCCCGCCACAGGGGGCCAGTTTCTGCTCTTCCACTGGGCTGGCATTCCCCTTCCCACCAGCAGTGACCTAATCCACCTGCCCTCACACGGGCCTGTGGGCTGCTGAGACATGGCCAGACGCGCGACAGACAATCTACTTTCCTCCCGACCTCAGCGATTCCCCCACATCCCACCTCCTCACGGCCTCTCCTCACCCAAAACAAATGAGTGAGGTCATCCTCTTTTCATTCAGTCCCTGAGCAAATATGCTAGGAGGGCATCCTGTGTGCAGGGCCAGCGCAAGGGCGGAAGCCAGCCCTGTGGCTGGTGTGCAAACCACAGGCTATACACGGGGAGGGCAATGCTGTGAGAAGTGGTATATTATTTGATGAGCAAAGGAGGTAAGTCAATAGAGGGACATCCACTGATGACATCAGGTTGCTCTGAGGAAAAAGGGGGCTAAGACACAGGCTCAGTGTGGTCTTTTCTAGAAGGGAAAATATAAAAATGCAAAAACTAGGTTTAGCGTGAATACATTTCCCAGAGTGATATCTGCTGCGTATTTTCATCCCACTGGCTATGGCACACCCCACGGTTGGCCAGCCAACAGCTACTCCAGCTTCTGATTTGCTCTGGGAGTCCCAGAAGATGACTTGCAAAGCCAACTGGGCAATTTCATTCACTGAAGCCAATTAGGGGAGTCTCCGCCTCCCCCACCATCGCCCGTCTGTGAGTGGTCTAGTTCTGGTCAATGACAGAAGGAGAAAGTGGGCCAGGGCTGAGAAAGACCTAAGAGAAAGCCCTTTACTACCATTCTTGTCCCTTTAGTTTGGGAAGATGTGATGCACGGTGCTCTGCAGCCATCTTGGAACCATGAGGACAGGCTAGTACAGCAGGGAAATAGAAAGAGCTTGAGTCCTCATGGACACTGCTAAGCTTTTAAGCTTAACTGGATGCACCGATCTCTAGATGTCTTGTTATGCAAACTAATGAAGAGACCTCACCATTTAGTCCAACTTCCCTTGGGTCCTCCATGGCTGGACAACGCATCCCAACCCAGACAACCATGTTACTTGTTCTTACTTTGGAGAGTAATTGCAGACGAGGTAGACCGCATTCTCCCAAACATCTCCCCAAACGTTCATCCTCTGGCAGGTGTTCACAGCACAGCCAATCTTGTTGGTGGCGGCCCAGACTATCTGAAAAGATGACAGCCACGTGTCAGAACCCCAGACAAGGCAGAACAGGGCAACCTAGTCTGCCCTGGATCTCCAGGGTGCTGGCCCTAAAAGGGTGTATGTTGTGAAGGGGTTGATGGACCAGAGTTTTTCCCTAATCCCTGAAGATCCATATGTTTGTTAAACACACACACACGCGCGCACACACACACACACACACACATGCACATGCACACACACCCCAAAGAGAAACAAATCACACACAAGGAAAATGTGCCAACGACAGAGGACTGCCACACACGTTTCTAGCGCTTACTCCCAGTTTCCACACTTGTGTCACAAATGCACACTAGGCCCAGCAGCCGGACTTTAAGGAACACCAAATTAAAGGGAAACATTATGGTAATGACAGAGTGGAGTCTTCCAACTGGGGAGCAGGTCTGCAGGGCCAGGTGAGTGACGGGGTCTGCGGGTGCTGGGCTGAGGTTGCAGCGAGGGCCTCGGGGCTTACCTGTGTGTAGTGGGTGCACATGGGCCCGGAGCACCTCTCCGGACACCAGGGGTTGCACTCATGGGGGTAGGGGTAGGTGTAGTCCTTCACCTCGTCATACCAGGACTGTACGTGGAAGCCGGGAGAGCGGTACCTGCGGGGCAGACCAGCTGGTTACGTCCCGGCCACCACCCACCCAAGACTGAGACCACGGCTCACAGCACAGCCGTCCACAGTGCAGGCTAGAGGACAGGGCTGCTGTGGGTGAACGGCCCCAAATCCTGTCCAGCACCTGCTGTAAGTGCCTAGATCCCAAACTTACAAGGAGCCCCCTTGGCATTCCCAAAGTGCCTGGGTTCCAGGAGAGTCCCTGGGAGGCCCACAGGCCAACTATGTGTGCAGGAAACATTTGCCTGGCCCCCAACAAGTCACTATTTATATTACAATTATGTATTTATGCCCACAAACCCGGTATTTCCCAGGTGTGATTCTTTAAAACAACTTGATTGACGGACTTGAGCCCCTTTCAAGTCAATGCAGAGAAAAACGGCAAGTAAGTAGCCATCCGGGTAATGCACAGACAGAACACCAGGGAAGATCTAAAAGGGGCAAAACCAGCCGGTGATGGGGGACAGGGCACACGGGAGAGCCTAGAGGCTAACGTCTCCATATCGTCGTGGCTGGCTGCATTCCTCACCTGCTGGGGAGCAGGGGGAAGACCCAAGGACTCAGATACAAGGTCGAAAATAAATAATAGAAATAGAACTAAACAGAAGATACAGAAACCTGCAGAGAGGCAGAGCTCTGAGATCACATGGGCAAACCCTTTCCAGAACTTTCTATTTCAAGTCTAATCCCCTGAGCCCTCCCTTTCCCCCACGCTGGTCATCACCATGGGTGGCCATGGCCCCTCACTCGGCCCCACCCACCCAGGTTGGCATCGTTGCTTTCTTCTCGGGAAAGAAAACAAACTGGACACAGATCCCCAGTCAGCGGCCCCAGCACATGTAAACAAAGCGGTTTCGATAAAGAGAGAAGACACAAGGGGTCTGGCCATGTCTGAGAGCACTGTGGTGAGGCGGGCAGTTAGAGGTCTTGTAACAATTACTGTCACAGCCCAGAGCGCCTGGCGGTGGTCAGTGACGTAGTCGGGGCTGGCTTGGGGAAGGACGCTGGCGGCCACACAGCCACGGAGCCACAGGGCTGCATGGGGACACCCATGCCCGCCCGTGTCCCCGGAGTGCCATGGCCAGGCTGCTACGGGGGCCCGGAGAATGAGGGGGTCTCTTGGGGAAAGCAGGTCGGCACTGTGGATCCCGCAGGGGCAAGATCTTTGTGTCCTCTGCACCATCCGTCCCAGCACTAAGCCTGACACAGCCACCGCAGGACCGGCTCCAAGAACGGAGAGGCTAACTTTCTGCCTATCGGCTTGACGGCCTGAAGGCAGCCTTGACCAGGATCAGCAGGACGGCCACGGAACAGAAGACGGGTCTGATCGTGTATGAGAAGGAGGGAAAGAATTCAAGGCTGTCCTGGCCACCATTACCACGATGAAAAAATATGCGGCCCACAGCCAGAGGCTACACAGGAGTCCAGGAATATTCCGGCTGCCGAGCCAGGCCAGTGGAATGATGGGTTTTCTCCCTGTAGACGTTTTCTTTTCATGCCACCGGAAGACTGATTTTATAAAAAGCAGAATTCAGCAGGAGACCAAAAATAATAATAATTAAATAATAACAGTGTTGATTCCCTTCTGCCAGGTTCCATCTGGACCCCTCGCGACACTGGCTCAAGTTCTGTTCCAGAAAGACACTGACCTAAAGGAAGTGGACGGCTCACAGCCGCACGGAACCCAGGCGCTTACAGGGCTGGGGAATGTCTGGGCCGCGAGTCGGGCAACCTGTACTTCAAGTCCTGTCCAAATTTTCAGCAATGCAGCAAAGCACAAGTGGGCTTGAGCCCCTGGCCAGCCCTGGGTCCACCCCCGGAGGACCCGTGTCCACACCATGTTGTCTGGTCGGTTGGCAAGTTTGCACCGAGCAAAGGCCCATTCGCCTAGTCCCCTGAGGAAACCAGCCCTCGGCCGGGTGGGTGCTCAGGAGGGCGCCTCTTAGAGGCCATGTTCAAGGGCCTCCTCTGGGCCAGAGGGCCTCGGTGGTAACGGGGAGCCTCCCCGAGGCTGGACAAGGAGGGTGAGGTGAGGGACAGCTGCTCACCGGGTAGAACCTGGTTGGGCCTGGAGAAGGAGCAGAACCCAGACACGGGGGGCAGAGAAGATACCCTGACCCAGCACAGCAAGGCCAACATTCCAGTGTCCCCCCAACCCTGCTGCAACGGGCTCGGGAATCCTTTCAAGGCGGTAGAATGGGGCCCCCAAGCTGGAAGGCCCGAGCCCGGGGGTCAGTGTCTGGAGCCAATGAGCAGGCTCGCGTCCGTTTTGCAACTACTCAGAAGCGCCCTTGAGCACCGAGCCTGTTCACCCACACGTAAATGGCTCAGGGGGTCCTGCAGACTTAACCGTGGCCATGGAGGGCGAGCACCCAGCCCAGCACACGGCAGGTGCCCACAGAGGCGGCTGGTTCACACGTAAGGGGGGGACCGCGACGGCTCTTACCTGCCCCAGTGGACCGCCAGGTTCTGCCCGATGGACACCAGCAGACTGGTGGGCCCGTGCTCCCAGATGCACTCGTGAGCCCAGGCCGCCGCTGACCGCTCCAGCTCCTCGTCCCAAGTCTGCAGGGAGAGCAGACACAGCCCCGCCAGAGTCAAGGAAGAGCATAAGGGCCAAACCTGCAGCCACGCACCCCCCTCGTGGGCCCTGCGTGGAGCCCGGGCCAGGGCTCTGTTCCTGGACACTGGGTGCCATGCAGGGCTTGGATGGCTTCCTGACCCGACCAGCGGGAAGGGGCAGGGCCGCAAGGATCTCAGGGGAGCCCGGCCCATGGCCATCCACACAGCTACTGCTCCGGGCTCCCGCTTGCCCGTGAGACGGGCAAGCCCATCCCGTGGCCTCTGCCTCCTCATCCATGAAATGGGAAGATGCCTGAGTCCCGCTGATGGGGGTGGCCTCGGCACAGCCCTGCGAATGTGCTTCACACCACAGAACTGTAGGCTTAAAAGTCGTCAAAAGAGTGAATTTTATGATTTATGCATTTTACTGTTCTTAAAAAAAAGGGGGGAGCAAAAAATGCTTTGGCCTCGGCCCATCCGGCTCTCCTGCGGCACAGCCCACCCTGAATGAGGGCGGGGTGAGGCATGGGGGCAAGGGTAGGGTCTGGGCCAGAGGATCTGAAACAGGCTGCGCCACCCGGCCTGCCTCCCAGCTGGCCCGGGGACGCACATAGCTCCCCGGGAAGGAACACAGTGAACAAAGCAGCGGGGTCACTGCTCTTCTGTGGCAGGACAGACGCCAAGCGGCCCTCTGGCCAGCTGCTGTCCCGCCTCCTCCCGGTCATCAGGCAGATGCCCCAGCTCGCAGGCAGGCCAGCAACTGCTGTTCCCTCTCGGGAGAGCCCCAGCCCTGCACACACAGTAGGTGCTCACAGAAGGACAGGCAGGGTCCCGGGACGTAGCCAGGAATGGGAGACTGACAGCGCTGGCTGTGGCCCCCAGGATGGCATGTCGTGAAGTCGAGCGCCTCCCCACCTCCACCTCTTTCCAGCCTCAACGCCGGAGACTCCAGAACGTCCAGGGCTGAGGCCTGGCCTAGGGCATACGCCTCTGCGGACTAGTTCAGACCCTGGACACAACCCCCCCTTCGGTTGCACGGGACCTCCCAGGTCCATTCTGACGTCAGACTCCACTCTTGCCGACAGTGCCCCGCCCCCCCGCCGCCATCGTGCCCACCAGGCACTGTGTCTCTTCTGCCTGGGATCCTTCTCCCAAGCCCGGGACAGCCTGCAATGCAGAGGGGACAGGCCTGCCTTCTGCTGGGTGCTTCTCCTGCTGCTCCCTTTATGTACCCGATCCAAGCCCCCACTCCCATCCTGAGACCCCACGGTATCCCGTGACATTGGATTTCCACCTTCCCGTCTTCCAGACTTGTGGCTCACCCCCTTCCAAACCAACTACCTAGACCAACTTGGTGACTCCATCTCCAAGCAAGGAGCCGATGGTCCATGATGGAACAGACAGCATCTGCTTCGAGGGGAGGGCGGTGGGGTGGGGGGAGCACCAAGATCCCTCTGGCCGTGGCTAGCCAAGGCCCTTCCCAAAGTCCAGGGAGGCAGGGCAGACCCCGTGCAGGCACTGACCCCACCCCAAGGCCCACTGGCTTCTCAGAAGTTCAATGTTTATTCTGATCAACGTGAACCTTGTGTGCCTTTGGTCTGCGTCCATAACGTTTTCTACAGCTCAGCGGGAAGGGCGGTAGGGAGGGCCCTGGCAGATCTCTGGGGGCTAAGGGCTTCTGAAATTCTGGCTGGAGACAGAGGACACAGCCCAACAAGGACATAGCTCTCTCCCCTCCCTGCATTCAAGGCCTCCTTCCTGGCCTGCCCTTCACCTCCCAACCTCCTCTCTGCTCCAGCTGAGCCCGTCACATAGAAAGACCACAGAGAGGCACAGGTGAGCATTCTCTGCCCCCCAGAGGGACGACTGAGGGAAGAAGGAGGGAAAGACCTGGGCAGTGGGGGGGCACTGGTGAGAGTGTTTGTGTGAGGGGAGCCTATCCCCGGGGCCAGGCTCTGCCGGTTGCTGGCTGTGTGACCATAGACAAGTGGTTTCACATCTCTGAGCCTGATTCCCCATCTAGGCTAACGATGGTGCCAGAACAGGATTTGGAGGCAAGCTGAATGAGAGGCCTCAAGCTCCCAGACAAGGTGCAGGGCAGCTCTCAACAAACTGTATTTTGATATTAAGGAAATTAACTTCCTTGAGCACCTACTATGTGCCAGGGGCAGGGTTAAGCCCTGTCCCTGAACACCTGCCACTTGCCAGAGAATATTATTAGCACCACTTTCTTATTTACTTCTTGGAATAAGCCCCTGAGGTATGTTATATTTTCCCATTGTTGCAGACAAAAACAAAAACAAAAAACCACACACACACACAAAACTCCTTGAGGCTAAGAGAGGTTAGGCAACTTGCCTAAGGTCACACAGCAGGAAGTTAGAACTTTAACAACCCAGCTTGATCTGGCTGCCAAGTTGTTCTCGGCTTGCTCTGCATGCCTTCACCACGTGCCGTTCCCACTTCGCTAAAATAACAAGTTACTAAAATAGTCACAGCAACAATGTAGTTAACATTTACTTAGTACTTATGCATTATCTCATCCGCTCCTCCAAACAATGCTATGAGAAAGGTGCTTTTATTGTCCCCATCGTGCAGGTGAGGAGACATTAACACAGAGAGGCCAACTAATCTGCCTGAAGTCACACAGCGACCAAGTAGCAGCTCCCCTAAACCCAGGCAGGCTGGCTTCAGAGCCTGTCCACTTATAAAAACTCAAAATAGGGTGTCTTAACTCTTTGGAATTTTAAAATCCACCTTAGGGCTAAAGCGATTTCAAAGGACCCAACTGAAGCCCCAGCAGACGGGGCTGAGCAAGGAGCTGGATTTTCAAGACACTTTCTCAAATGAGTGCTCCTTGTTTGGGGGGAGATGCGAGCAGATGGGCAGGCCGGGGATGGAGGGGTTGGGCCTCAGGCTACCTCCCCCGCCTCCGCCTCCGGGCCTCTGCTCAGAGGCGGCCCCAACAACACTCACCAACACTCAGCCTCCCTGACACACAGGCCATTGAGACGTAAGGACCCAGATCCCAGCTCCAATCCCGAAATAACACAAAATAAACCAACAGGAAAATGTGGCAGGCTCGTTCCAGGCTGCCCATGTGAGCCCTGCTCCCTGCAACGAACCTCCCATACAGGCCCCAGGACAAGCACAGAGCAGAGACGAGAAGATCAGCCTGTTCCTGATAGGAGGTGGGGAGCAGCCAGGATCCTGGGGCGTTTGGGACTCAGTTAAGCTCCAAGCCAAGGAAAATCCCCTGCTCCAAGGCGGGCACCATATAGGGCCTTGGGGTGGCAGGGGGCCAGGAGGAAGGCCCATCTGTCCGGAGAGGTAGAAAGTGTCCTTCTCCCCTGCCCACCCTCCGGGGACCAAGCCAGACCACCAGGTCCACGGAAGGATGGGGAAAGAGTCCACACCCAAAGTCGCGAAGAATTCGAAGAATTCGACTCTAATTCTCTACACCTTTAACCCTAAAAAGGCCTGCACCGGCTGTTGACGCATCAGTATTGTGAACGGGTGCCCACTCTTCCCCCTAAGATGAGAGTGAGCGCCTGGGCGACATTCCTCAGGGAAGAAAGAAATGGTTTCGTAACGAGTTCCCAAAGGACAGCCCTGCTCCAAGGGTGTCTGCCCAGAAGGGCAAGCCTTTCATCTGTGGTATAGATGGTGACAGGACACCTCGTGAGGGTACAGACAGCGACAGTGAGGGGCTGCCAGGCACAAGGGAGGGTCCCTGATCACAAGCACCCCTGCCTCGGAGCACAGGGCAGCATGAAAGGGGACAGTGGAGTCCAGAGGAGGGAGAGGAGCTGGGTCTTGGGTGAGGCTCATTTATGATGGGATAAGGCACAAGGTGGGGACAGGACTCCTGGGGGAGGGAGGGCCTGACGGCATCTTCGGGGAATACCCAGTGGCCTCTCGGAACAGATGAGCTCGAGATCGAAGGTTTTGAGCTCCAGCCAGAGCATGTGGGCTCCATCCTGGGCACAGAGGGCCCTGGGGCTCCCGAGCTGGAGACACATTTCCCAAAGGTCGGGAAGGGAACAGGAGGCAGGGCTCAGGGTAGGCCATCGGGGGACAACGTGGGAGGTGATAAGCCCCAGGGCAGACCAAGGTGTTGGGGGGACAGGCTGGCCAGAAGGAAGTGGGCAGTGGCAGTAGGGGTGCCAAGGTTCAAACTGGGCACGGGATGATGGCTGTGGCCTGGGTCCTGTAGTCCGTTCTGCCACTACCAGTTCTGACCTCGGGCCTCAGTTTCCTAGTCTATAAAATGGGAGAAAAGCAGCAGGTGCATCATAGGGCTGGGAGGACAGGAAGCGCTGCTGGCAGAAACAGACAGGGGTGTGTGGAGGCAGGGCCAGAGGCGTGGACTTGGAGGGCCAGCTGCCCTTTGGCTCCTTACGCATGGGATTTCCCCAGGCGGCTCACGGGAGACCCTCCACTGTCCCCCCTCTCTGCCAGCCCTTTGTTGACAGACACCCCAACTCTCGGGGACTCGACCTTGCTGCTGCTCAGACAGAGGAAGGCGGCAAAATGGGCCTGATGAAGACCAAGGTGCTCAGTGACTACGGTGACCTTGGCCCCTGGTGGGAGCTCTGGTGCAGGGCATTTTACCACGTGATGTCATCAAACCGTCCCGGAACCACGAGAAGGGGATTCTCAAAGTGGAGGCCGTGGACACCTCCAGGTCACACAGCAAGGAGGCAGCAGAGCTGCGAATGGACTCGCCAAAGCCCAGCGCACAGACCTTCCACTCCGCCTTGAAAAGAGGCCAGGGGAGAGCCAAGGGCGGGGCCCTGGGCTGGGCTCCTCGGCACGGGGAACTCACGAGTGCCGTTGTGGTGTCAGGAACAGAGGCAGGGGACCCTCTCTTGCCAGGAGGCCCTGAGCCCACCACACCCTGCCCCTGGAGACAAAAGCAGATGGACCCCAGCCCCCCCCCCCGCCCCGGGAGCACCTGCACTTACCATGTACTCCATGTTGGAGGCGGGGGGGTACACCTGGCCCCTGAGTTTGTTGTGAAGCATGAGGATCTCCTCCCTGTCCGACCTGGGGATGGCCCTCCGGACCCGGGAGTGCGGCTTGTCCTGCTGGTATTTGCTGAGCAGCTTCTCCAACTGAGTGATGTTGGGCAGGAAAACGCCTTGGGCTCCGCAGACCAGGAGCACCAGCCCCAAGGGGACGACTCTGTTCAGGACACAGCTCATGGTGCCACGCAGGCCACGAGGACGGGGGTGACAAGCAGGCTGGGCTCCGAGGCAGCGCCGGGGCGTGGGAGCTCTGAGGGAAGCAGAGGTAGCGGGGAAAGAGGTCGGTCAGTATCAAACCAGCTCCAGCCTGGGCTTGACCCGTGAACAGCCATCCCTCCCCCACTCTGCACACACGCAAACCGAGGCTCGCAGAAGCTCGGTGACCGAGGTCCCCCAGCCACGAGGGATGTGGCTGCCCTGGCTCCTCACGCCCCAGACGGTCCCAGAGGGTCCGAGAAGCCAGCGCAGGCTTGACGGAGTGTGCTTATTCACACGTCTCGCTCGGCTTGCCACCGTGGCAGAGTCCGTCAGGCACGGGACCTTCACTGGGCACTGAGCCTCACCTCGGGGAGCTCCCACCCAGGCTGGGGCGAGAGCCCAGGGAAACCACAGCCCCTGCCCCCCGCCCCAGCCCCCCACTGCAGGGCAGTGCCGGCCACGGGCAGCACGAGGAGCTGGGGGAAGAGGCTGCGGAAGCCCACCGGGGGGGCTGACCCGTCTGGGACACCGAGGGGTCCCGTCCTCCCATCAAGGCTTCTCCGCGCTTCCCCCACATGAGCCGTGACCAGTTCTCATGGGCTGAGCTGGCTGGGTTTGTAAGACACCGGCCAGCAGAGGCATCGTCAGGGGCAGGACGCGGAGGGGCAGGGAGGGACGAGTGCGAGGCTGAGCGTGCAGCCAGGCAGCCACGGCAATGGGGCAGTTGCCACTCTGACCCTGGAAACTCTCCAGGGTCCTGACCCAGCCGTGCTTTGGACAAAAATAGCCACCACCCAGCAGGGACGCCCAGCATTCTCCTGACTGGGTGAGACGCAGCCCCCCTCCAGGGGAGTTCCCTCTGGGACAGCGCCTCGGGGATGGGACGGCACAGAAGGATGTTTGCGTGCTCGCCTGCCCCACAGGGACTCAAACCAGTAACGCAGACCCCTGGGGTCCCGACCTCGCTCCAGGATGAGTCGCACCGCCATATATGAGCATTTCCCAGCCGCAGAAGGCCAGGCTGGCACAGATGCTGAGACACTGACACTGGATTGCCCTCTGTGACGCGGGGAGAGCAGAGACCACCGTCAGGGAGCAGCTGCCGGGCGTCACCACCGCACAGGGTCCACGGCAGCTAGAGGGCTAGGGCACCCCCAAAGGCATGAAACGGAATCGCTCCGAGGACTCGACTGTGAGTGAACCAGACTCAAGCCTGGGTGGGGGTTCGATCTCTGGCGGGCACCATTCAAACAGCTCTCCTGGGGGACAGGTAAATAGACGGTGGGCAGTCGGATGGAGTATTACACAGCAGAGAAAAAGGAACAACTTTGAGCCATGTGAGCATCAGCATGACCAAGTCCCAAATCCAAGGTTGGGTCAGAAGAGTAAACTGGAGAAAATGATGGCAGGTATTATTTACACCAACTTTAAAACCCACAGACTATATTTTGTGTAACTTATGGGTGTACATGAATATAGACATACATGCATCTCTGTGTATTATATGTGCATATTTTACACATATACACACATACATGTGTCTGTCTGTGTGAACATATGTGTACGTGGGGCGTGTATGTGTTTATGTAGTAAAACCACACCTGAACCAGGCCAGGTTCGCGGTGCCGGCTGATTCCAGGGTGAGGGAAAGGGAACTGAGAAGGAGAATGTGAGGACCCTCCTTTTGATCTTTCACGTATTATTTGTATTTTTAAAATGTCAAGCAAAGAAGGCAAACTGTCCACCTCTGTTCACTTTAGGGGGACAGACTGTGTTGGGAGAACTGCAAAGCGCTACCCTAAGGCAAGGGCTGCAGGGGTGGGCCACGGCAGGAAGCCCATGCTATCCTTTGGACAGCTCTGGTTTTTAAAAATATCAATAATAGAAGAAAACAAAATCCCAAAGCATGAAGAGACAAGGAAGCAACTGCTGGTCCCAAGGGCACCCTTCCAGCGAGTGAGACCTTACTCCAAAAGACAAGACAAATGGCCTTCACCATGCACTTGACAGTAGGCTACTTGTCTGCAAGGCCCCACAGAGAATTTGTAAAGCCGCGGGGACAGACATGTGCTGGGTCTCTCAGCTCACAGCATCGGGAAGCACGCCCCGTGCACCCCGGGTTCTGAGAGTGGTCTGGCCTGGCCAGAGCTCAGAGGGCCTGGGGGTCCTCACAGGGGAGGAGCCAGGCCCAGATTGTCCCACTCCTGCTAAGTCTAGGCTTCGCGACACCACGAAGGCTTCAGCAGAACCATGAGGACGAGGGGGCTGGCAGCTCTCCTCCCGGGACCCTGCACGGTGCTGCTCGGGACTGAGCTGTGACCCGCCCCCCCAGATTCACAGGCTGGGATCCTGACTCCCAGCACCTCCGAGCATGACTATATTTGGAGAGAGAGCTTTTAAAGAGATCATTACATAAAACTGAGGTCATTAGGTGGACCCTGGTCCAGTCCGACGGCTGTCATCCTAAGAGCGGGGGCTGGGGCACAGACACCCCCAGAGGGAGGGCCGTGTGAGGACACAGGGAGAAGGCAGTGTCCACAGGCAGAGAACAGAGGCCTCAGGGGACAGCCGCCCTGCCCACAGAGGGGGCTTGGGCCTCCAGAAGTATGAGAAAATACTGGATAAACAGAACTATGGACCCAATTCCCCACTGGCCACTGTGGGGAAGGGGCAGTGGGGGGCACGGGAAATCAGGAGGCCTAGGTCCACTTCGCTGGGGCGTCGCCAGCACCCTGGGCCTGAGCAGCCCCTCCAGCTTCTGCCGCTCCAAGAGTTCAACCAGAACTTAGGGCCTAAACCCTTCAGCCCCTTTCAAATTAAATTAAAATTAAAACCCATTCTTCAAATGAGACACGTGTGAAGTCCGGGGCTGTGTGGGGCTTCCCAGGGACAAGTACAGACCCCGACCGACTGGGGAGGCTGACGCTGAGGGAGACCTACTGTGCGCCGGTCCCTGGATTTCTCCTCTCACCCACCGATGATTCGGAGGCTCGGGCTATACTGCTTCCGTTTTACAGAGGAGACTGAGGCCTCTGCCATGTCCAGAAGGCCCGAATTCGTACAGCTGGTGAGCAGAAACCGAGCGCTGGGACACAGCCTGTGCTGTCCCAGGGCCCTTTCCTTACGCTGCCCTGCCTCCCCGAGAGTGGGCTTCCTGAAGGAGAGCCCAGCCACAGCCTGTGGGGAAAGGGACCCAGTGGCAGCGCGCCAACCTCTGGGACAGACAGTGGTTCCTGGCGGTGAGAAGACACCCGTGTGTCACCCCCAGGGGACTGAAACCTTACATCATGGTGACCTTTCACCGAGAGATGCCTCCATCCCCGGGCCTGGCACACATCCAGCCTCTCTGGGTCTCTCTCAGAGCTGACCTCTGACCCCTGACACCGACATGCCAAGGTCTTGTGAGAAGGTACCCAATGTCAGGCCACCAGGGAGGTGGGGAGGGGAGTGGGGCTTTCGGGCCCCAGGGCCCACGGCGAGACCCCAGGCTGGCTAACAAAAGCCACAGAACATCAGATTCCTACAGCACTGCCCAGAGCTCACAAATACACCTGGAGCGTGCCAGGGAGGTGGTGATTTCCAACCCTGTTTTACAGAAAAGAAAACTGAGTCCAGGACACGCTGCCTGGTGCGGCTGAGGCCGTGTGGCCAGTTAGAGGAGGCGCCGAGATGCGAAATGGGTTTCTGCAGCCCCCCTGCCCCGTGCCAGGGCTCTGTGGCCTGGGAAGGGATCAGCAGACACCCGTCTCCTCAGGGTCACCTCCCGGGCAAGGCCGCCCCCAAACGTGCCTCTCGGGAGCAAGGGAGAGAAAGGGGGCGTGCCTGGGGCACGCTGGTCAGGCCGCAGGGCCCTGCCTGTGTTTGGAAGATTCTGCCGGGAAGATGGATCTCGGCGCTGCGTATGCCGGCCGGCAGCTCCGAGCTGTGCCAGAGCTCTTCCCTCCTGCACATGCTGTTCCCATAGCTCATCCCACCGCCTTGTCCTGCCCCCTCCCTGCCCCGGGCCAGCCCGATGGATTCTGGCTCTTCCAGCTACGACCCCGCTCCAGGGTCACGGCTGAATCACACCGCACCGTCCCAGCCCCCACCCGCCCCAGACCCGTCGGGCTCGTTCTCCACCGAATGGCCCACACCCGACACGTCGGTGTCCGGTAAATATTTAAGAAATGAATGTGTAGTCGCGTCCTCCCGAGGAGGTTGGGAGAGCCGAGCAAGGACGCCACACGGTGCGGGCCTGCCCAGAACGACCTAGAACGTTGGCTGAGTCAACGCGTGATGCAGCCCCTTGCTGGCTGCGTGGCGTGTCCCTGCTCGGGGCCCCTGGGGCCACGTCTGTAAGGTAGCCGGGAATCACAGGGCTCGTCTGACCTCGGCGATTCAGGGGTGAACAAGACAGGCAGGTCTGCGGACGAGCTCCGGCGCCAGGAAGCTTCTGGAAAGCAGCGTCCTTTCACCTGAGGCCCGGTTAGAGCATGAGTGTGGGTGCTTTGTAAGTGTTCGCTATTCTAAGGAGGATGGCGATGCTACATGTGCCCTGGAGGCACTGTGTGAAGAAGCTTCTAGAAGGCCGGGATTAATGATGTGGAGTCTCTCTTCATGACGTTATCTCAGAGCCCCACCTCTGCTTTGACACAAAAACTTAATTTTTAAACAGCATATTAAACGTCTCATGCATGTGGGGGTTAAAAACTGTGCCCTAAATTCGAAACACGCTTTCCTCAGGACCTGTCTTGAGCCATGACCACTTTCTCCCAGATTTCTGGGGAAGCAGATTCCAAGACGTCACGAACCAGGTCTGGAGTCTGGCTGGCTCAGTCAGTAGAGCGTGCGACTCTTGATCTCGGGGTTGTGAGTGCGGGCCCCACGTCGGGCATGCCGAAACTTTAAAAAAATTACAACAATAAGGGGTGCCTGGGTGGCTCAGTGGGTTAAAGCCTCTGCCTTTGGCTCAGGTCACGATCTCAGGATCCTGGGATCGAGCCCTGCATCGGGCTCTCCGGTCAGCGGGGAGCCTGCTTCCCCCTCTGTCTCTGCCTGTCTCTGCCTACTTGT